GAGTCATAGCTTAAGACAGCTGGTGGAGTGGCTCTGAGCTCAAGAAAAACATCGAGATTTCCAGCAGTTCATGTCTGCTTAGTGCCAAGCATGACATCAAGGCCATTTGTTTTTCACATGCAAGCCTCTGGTATGGTAAACTCATGATATTTCATCTCAAAAGTGACAAAATAAACATTTTACACTCCATCAGCACAGCCAATTTTGCTTTGCGTTTAAAAAAACAAACAACATAAATGTAACCCCATTTTTCATCAGAGAAATGGAAAGAAAACACATCGAGCCCTCTGGGCCTTGAATTTTATTTCCTCTAACGCTACATATCAGGTTTCACTTGGTTCTAGTCAAACACCACGGTGAGGCATAGACACCCGTAAAAGTCCCTGAAATCTTAATGAACAATGTCTCTGCTCCTCCACCCACCACCCCAGAAATCACCCACCAACCACCAATATAAGCAACGTCAAGAAAGACCATCACCACAGCCCAAGTAGCCTGTGGTCATGCCACCAATTTGCTGCTGGCTCCTCCTCCTCTTTGCAGCTCCAAACCCCCCGACCTTGGTTTTTTTATGATATGGTTATTTGAGCCAGAGCCCAATGAAACCGTACATGTTCCACAACCAGAGCAGAATGAGACCCAAAACCCCCGAGCTGGAGGGCTGCAGTCAGATCTGCTCCAAATTATTTGCACGGCTGCAGAGCACATTGAGGGACTTATAAAAGCCTGTGGTAGGAATATTCAGCCTGTGTCACCTTCTTTTGAATTCCCTGTACTCTTTGTCTTTTTCATCAAGACAATTTTTACATTAAAAATTAAAGCTGGGGGAGTGGACAAAGTTCATTTTTTACATCTGCTCTTGAGAGAATGGATCAAACAAACAGAATTTCCAGTGATATTATGTATCATTCTACATATTGTAGCATTGGGGGCGGAGATACATTTGGCGGGGTCCTCCATAATGCTCCTTTGGGCAGGATGTATTTAGTTCAGGGTTGGTGGCGATCGGTCAGTGTGTGCCTGGTTCTGTTGTTGCTGTGCTGTTGCCAGAGGAGGAAATAGAAGGGAAAAAGACTACTTTTGTCTTGGGCTCCTTCCTCATGCTAGCCTACGTTACAATATAAATAAGTCATTTAGCTTGTTCTCTGTTGGTTGTTGGCAACACATTTAGAAGAACATATACATGGCAAAAAGAAAACAAAGAATCACAACAGCAATGAATATCCAAACCATACACCACCAAAATCAAAATCAAGAGCTTGCAGCCATGCTAGCAGATCTGTCATCATGCACAGCAGCACTTTGAGCAAAATTCTAACATCAGCATGCTAACAAGCTCACAACGACAATGCTAACATGCTAATATTAGACCACTGACATGGTATGGTGGACATGGCGTCACCACTTCCCTCCACTATACAAAAATATTGTGAACATGGCAGCTGTCATCTGGCTTTTTTGCAAACAAAATATATACAGTAGCAACCAGAAGTAGAGCAACAGCACTGGACCACCAATCAAAGCTGTCAAATGAACCGAAATACACCTCTTGTTATATCATCAAATAACTTATTAAAACAAACTTAACAGAAAAAAAATGGCCACTTGTACACACATCAACGCGATAACATCTACCAAACACCACAGAAGTGACTGCTGAGGAAAATGTATTTGAATTGTAGTTTGAGTTTTTTGTTTGGCTCATGTCCCATCCACTGACATGGAGGAGGTGGGATTTATGACCTACACTGCAACCAGCTACCGGGGGGGAACCAAGTCACAGTGACTTTACTTCTGGGTGCTCTTAGCCTGTCCATCATCAGTTGATGATTTAGACTGTCAGTATTTATAAATTAGCACTAAACAAATGTACAGCTGATGGGAATGTCATGTCTTTTGCAGGGTTTTGGCCATGAACAAAAGAACTGGACAAATTAAAAATGTGAATTGATGATGACACTACATGAAAAGCTACAGGAGCACCTAACACTTTATCCTGAGGAGATCATATCTGTTCCAAAAATCATGGCAATCCATCCAATAGTTAGTAAGAAGTGTATCTCGAAAACTCAAATGTTATCTCATGGCACTAGAGGTAACGTCAGTAGATCACCAAAGTCATTAGGATACATCTTCTAGGGAACATGAATGTCTGTGCAAATTGGATATTGAGATAATTAATTATGAGCCAAGAAAATACTGCAATGCTGTCTAAAAACTAGGACATGCAGATTGGAATTTTAAAGTGCACAAGTAATTCTATGGCAAAGAGTCCATGGTTCGATGGATAATACAAGCAAAGACCTCAGACTGTGATCTACACAAATGGTGTGTAGCCATAAGATATAAACTTGTCAAGAAAAGCTATGGCTTTCATAACACAACACACAGACGCTCTAGGATGTTGGTACAATAACTTTTAGCAATGTTCCAGCATTGGGGGATCAATTTCACACTCCTAACTGATCTCAGTTCTACTTTTTTCTGTCTCCACTCCATCTTTCTGAGCCTCTGGTCAGTGTCATCTCCAACCAAAACATATCCAGTACCTTGCCTGAGCCCAAGTCCTCCCCTGGACAAACAGATAGTAAGTCAGCCAGATGTCCAGCTGCCAGACAAGAGACGGTTTTGTTACTTGACCAAAAAAAATGAGTTAACATTATACCAGTGATGCCTGAAACAGTCTGGAGGAGGGCAGACATATTTTCAAGGGGGGTGCTATTTTCCACTAATGAGAATCTCATATGAGGCCAGTGAAGAAAAACAAAATTTAGGGAGGCATAGTTGTGTTACTTTTTGCTTTCAGAATTTAACTTATTAAGAGCACAAATTTAAATGGAACAACTTGGAGAAGGATAAAGAAAAGTTCAGTCTGCAGTCAGAGACTTCCTGAAGACTTTTGGTTGCCAGATGTGAGGATAGGAGTCCAGACCAGGTGTCTGAGATTTATTCTGAAAGTCAGTTATATCACTCTTTTCTCTTGTTTTTTATGAGTAAAAGGGTACAGGGTCTCTTCACTCTCACATCAGACAGTAAGTGCAAAAATGCTGAATTTGACTGGTGATTTATTGCTCCACTGAGGAAAGAAATGAGTTTGTTTCCAAAACAGCACGCTTCCATGTGCAGCAGTTTATCATTCTATAGCTTTACACCTGCAGAGGATTTTTAGTAGAGTCAGCCAATTTTCAAAAAGTGACAATAGATGGCCGAGTTAAGTTCAGTAGTTGTCTTTAATTTGGTGCCGCACATTGATTTATAAAACGCTATTGTACATTAGCTCTCAGCCTCTCAGTTAGTGCAGGAAAACATCTTTTATGTATCAGATTTCCTTTAATCAGAGACACTGTACTCATAACCAACAGCCCACTGCAGCCTCTCACATCTGCAGAGAGAAACACTCCATCTCCATTTGCTGCATCTGATTAACTTTACTGACAGGACTTTAAAGTGGTGCCACACCACCACACACACAGGATGTCACACCAACACGATGCACTGGCTTGAGTACCAACTCCTCTATGACCCTGAAAGAGGTGAGTCCAGAACTTTAACTCTGAACAACTTAACAAACTTAATGAAAGTCAGACACAACAGAAGCAGAAAAGAAAAAGGTGGATGAGCACTGAGGAAACAGCAGACCTACTCCCAGTAACTTCCTCTGCAATGAAATGTGTCAGAGTGGCTTTTCTAAGACACACTTTCTTGATAGTGCCTGGAAACATTTTCAAAGCAGAGCCAGCAATACTAAAAAACTCAGTGAGACAGGAAAATACAGCAAGTGCCTGAAGTGGTGACACAATGCCAGGAGATCCTTGAACAAGTGGTTTGATTCACTCTCTGATGTGGTGTTAATAATGTGTTTGCTTGTTGATGGTTTTATTGTTATAGTGTTTGAGATCACTTCACACAGAGCATGTCAGACAAATAACAGAACAAAACAACAAACTGTGTTGAGAAATCTGCCAAAAATGGTAATAAAAAGTGATGTACACAGTGTCACAACCAGTGTTGGGATGTAACTAAACACATTTACACAAATACTGTAGTGAATTTTGAGGTTTTTGTTCTTTGCTTGAGTTTTTCTATTTTATGCTCCAGAAGTTACTGTTAACACTGCAAACTAAGATTGTAAAATACAAAACATATGTTTGTTATAGACCACACGTCCCAGCAATATAATTAAGATTACTACTAAACCAACTGCAGCATGATGTTTACATCATACTGGATCAGTAATAATACAACAATATCATAATACAAATCATACTGTAGTGTAACAGTACAAAAAAGGCTACTCTGTATAAGAAGTGCTTTCACTGTACTGGTACTTGTAGCACATCTTGCTGATAATATTTATGTACTTTTACCAGTTGTAGAGGAACTATAATTAAAAGTAGCCAGACTGCAATATACATTGCAGGTATATTTAAGAAGTCACTTCTAAAATAAAGGATCAAAAGTCAATGAGGAATAGGCTAATTGAGAAACATGACCCCTGTTGATGTGATACAAACAAATATTATTAGATTAGTATATTATTACCATAGCATTAATAATAGAAATGGTCAAGTAAAGTACAAGTATCTCAGGTTTGTACATAAATGAAATTATTTGCATAGCTGTAGCTACAAGTAAAGTTTTGAAAGTGGAACTTTTATGTGTGGCAATTAGAGAATTTTTGATTTGAGTAGTTCCTTTACCCATACTTAAGACAATATCTGACTACAGTTGCACTGTGATTCCCTATATAGTCATTCTCGCTGGTCTAAGCTGCATCTTTCACCATTCTGGGGAATGCTGTAGCTGCATGCTGAACTCTTTTTTGCATAACAGCATATTCCCATACAGTACGTGAAAGCATGCATAATTAAAAAGGTAGCTGTTAACCAGCGATATTTATCATCATAATTGCAATAAAAACCTTGAGCTTTCCAACAAAGCATTAAAGACTCTGTGACACTTTTATGTGTTTATAAGATAACTGGCAAGATTTTACTCACCTTGCCGGCCACAAACTCCCAGATTATTTGTTGCTCTATTGCAGTTAGAAACTGACTTCCAAGGACGAAACTGAGAAGAAAAAAGTCATTAGTTTAAGGGCTCACACACTCAGTCCCTATAACCATTTAGAAGCACGCAGACGGGGAGAAAGAGATCATTGGCATCCAACGGGGGGAGGGTCCTGAAGTGGAGCCAAAATAACTGGAAAAAACTGACAGCATAGGGAAGTAGAGGAGGAGGGGAGAAAACATGAGGGAGGGGGCAGAGAGGAGGCTTGGGGAGGTCTGAGGTGAGGGAGATTGAGAGCGTTGTTTTTGTCTTCATCATGCCTGCAGACCTTGATGTCTAAATGTGTATGTGTGTGTTTTAGAATTTTAGAGGATAAATGGTCCAGTGGGAGGATACAAAGTGGAAAACAGGGGATCGTTTTCTGACTCTTGCAGGCGGGAAAACAACCTATGGCTCATTTCATCTCATCTCTATGTAGATTAGGTTTTTTCAGGCTTAGAGAAAAAAATGAGATGATGTGAGACTGTGTCTGAGCACTAGAGGAAAACAGTTTATCCACCTGAGAGCATGAGTGTGCTCTGTGAGATCAAATGGAAATGAGTCCAGTGGAGTTTGATATTTATTATGTACAAATTATAACCTGTAGGTGCTACAGGAAAAGTCAGGGTATCACCAAAAACATTAGGGTTCATCCTCTAGAGATGGAGGCAACATAATCCACCTGCCTGCAGCTCTAAAGGTTCTGAGTTAACACATCATATCTGGCTTTTTCAATACCTGCAAAGATTAAACTTTAGACTTTATTGACAGCTGTGTATAACCTCCTTTGAGATAACTGTCAATCAGTCTGTGCAGTTAGAGGGTTTTCTCACAAACAATAGACCAGCCACGATAACCAGCCAGCTCAGGCCGGGTGTTTTGCCTCCTCTGTTGAGCAATGACACAGATAAATGACCCATGGATGGAGGCCTGGTGGAGCAAACATCCTCACTGCACGGAAACCAAGAGCAGGGGGAAATACATTTGTTTCCTGTAGACAACATAGGGGATGGTGAGCAGTCCCATGCTGAGGACAGGGAGAGGGGGTCACGTCATGTTAACATCATTGTTGTCCTGGTAAGGTCAGAAAGAGCACTACCCTGAGAGTAACTATCTGTTACACCCCATCCTGGAAACATGCTATTAACATCTGCAATCAAAACTGCATCTCTATTAGTTTAATACATAAAATATAATTATTGGCAGAAGTGTCAGATCCAACTAAACATATTTCTGAAATAAGAAGTAAATTCTGTTCATAGGTTTATGGCAGAGCATGCTGACAGACAGTATGTTTTATTGGATGTCCTGAGACATAAAAAAAAGTTCATATTAAATTGACCTAATAATGCATAACGCTCATTTTTTAAAAATCTGTACTGTTTTATTGTTTGGAATAAAAGATTCTGGTCAAGTATGAGAATAACTGAGGTAGTGAACTGGCTTTTCACTATCTCATAGCGGGAGATCCTGAATCCTGCTAATCATTTGTTGAATAATTAATCAATCAGATATGTTGTGATCAGATCATTTATGGCATCATTTACAATCATCCTTAGTTAATAGATGGTCATGCTGTTGGTGTAGAGAGCTGCATCTGGGACAGCTTGAGTGACTATATACTGTATTTTACTATTCTAGTGTGAAATATTGCCATCTAGTGCCTAGTGGCAACAATAACTACCACTGGACCATCATTTAAACACATCCATCTGTTGTGCAACAAACCTACATAGGTGTATTTTTAAATTTAACAGAAAAATAAATGTTTTCAGATATGTATTTATGTAAAAGCCTGCTGGCAAGTCTGGACCAGCAACCAGGGAAAGCAGACTGTTACTAAGGGGCTTCATATCGTGTAATTAATCAATAATTTGTTAGAAATTTGTATTTGAATTAGAATACTGTGACTGGTCCTCTGTCCTTCAGTGTGTGGCCATGCTCTGTTAAAATCTAATTTTAAGACCTTAACTCTCTTAGATTATATTGAACTCATTTGTTGAAAAGTTTCCTAAAATTGCTTCCATTTTTTCTGTAAGATGATTAACACAGAAAAGTTAAAGCAAGGTAGTGTTCACAGAAGGCCTGTAAGGATGCAAAAAACAATTATTAGGCCATTACTATCAAAATGCCTAGGTCCATCATTAGTCCCTGAAGCCCAAAAGGACAAATTCAAACAGCTTTTTTTCCTAGCCAACAGTCAAAACCCTAAAAGGCTGAGTTTAAACTCATATAACAAGCACATTTGTTTCACAAGTTGATACCAATGAAAATTTTGGCATTGTGTCCTTAAAAGCCATGCTATGTGCCAATTAATTTTCTGTCACCAGACAGTCCAGTAAAGCTGAAAGTGACTAATCAACAGGTCAATTCAGCTTTATTGGTTGGTTTCTGGGTGACAGGGGAAATAAACTGCCATGTTATTGTGTAGGTCAGTAGGGGCCTAGGGCAATTTTGTTGCCCTGGAACATTTATTTTTCCCACAGTGTCTATTGGTCAGACTGGTAAGGAGGAGTGAGGATTCAAGAAAGTAAGTAGCTTCAATCAAATGATGCCCACAGGACAAAGGGACTTTATGTAAAGTAGCGTATATATGTATTTTTATGTCTAACCTTTCTACTTCTACTTCTACTTCTACTTCTTCTTCTACTTCTTCTTCTCTTCTACTTCTTTACTTCTACTTCTACTTCTACTTCTACTTCTTCTTCTTCTTCTTCTTCTACTTCTACTTCTTCTTCTACTTCTTCTTCTTCTTCTTCTTCTACTTCTACTTCTTCTTCTTCTTCTGTTGTTTAATAGCAGTTGGCAACCAGCTTTATGTGCATTACCGCCACCTTCTAGACTGGAGTCTGGATCAGAACGGCCCTACATACTACTATAAAGGAAGAAACTACAGTACGTTTTAAAATAGCCTATAGATACACTGTTAGGTGCGACCTTTATGCTGCAGAAATATATACAGAGAAGAAGACGGTACAAATGGTGACGTCTTTCCGGTGTCATGTCAGCGTTCTGTTGAGGTTGAATTCACGCGGTTAGTGTTTTTTGCTGTATTGAAATCTACTTGCTTCCAGTTTGACGTTTTATTGAAGAGGTTTTAATGCATCGGGGCGTCAGGAGGTATATCGTGTTTTGATTTATATGATCTTAGCCTACGAAAGGCTGTTAATACAGACGATTTGCTGTGAATTTGGGCTTTAAATGCTTTTGATACAGCTAACTGCTAACGTCAAAGAATAGTATGTTATGCTGATAGCAGGATATAGTGAAAAGGGCCAAAAGAGATAAAGATACAGAACAGCAGCAAATACTCACATTAAGAAGCCCAAATCAGAGAACAATTTGTTTGATAAATGATTTAAACAGTCCATTATCAGAATAGTTGTCGAATAATTTTAGGTCAGCTGTAGTTCCTTTCTATACCAAACTCTGATGGCAGTTTGTGAACATATTTCTAATATGAGCTTAACCAGGATCCTTATCCCTTATCAAAGGTTTAGTATTGAAAATGTGAAACAAAGAGGGGTTTGACTAGTTAGAAACAGGAAAACTCCATTAAGTTACTGTGCATTGATCTTAGGACAAAGTATTCTGTATTGACAGTGTATAGTTATAATGGTAGACTGCCATGTCACTGTTTTGGGTCCTGGAGAACAAAAGGTCTAGCAACACTTGCAGTGTTTGGAGCAACTTTCATGTAAAGACCAATGCGCTTTGGAAGGCTCTTTGCTGAGATGCGTTGGTCTATACATGAAAGTTGCTCCAAACACCAGGTGCTGCTGGGTGTTTTTGTTTTCCAGTTTGGTTTTCCCTTGTTTGTGCACTTTGACAGTGGGGAAGGTCGTGCCAGATATTTTTGCTGTATCAGGTCCTGAAAGGTTCTTGTATAGAGGTTTCACAGCATCTTACTGTCCAAATGATTGTACATTACACATAGCTTCCCAAAGTGGGTTGCTGGTGACCTCTTAAAACAGATTGTTGTGTCCAGTCTTATAGTCATGGGTAAAGTGTTTGTCAAATTGACAGCCCGGGGGAAGAAACTCCCTGTGTTTGAAGGAGTTCAAACAGTTTGTGTCCATCATGTGAGGGGTCTGCAGAAATCTACTCTGCCCTCCTTTTGACCTGTGAGGTGTACAGGTCCTCCATGGAGGGTCGGGGGAGGGCTATGATTATTCTTTCTGCAGTCAGAACTGTTAACTGGCATCTGTTCCTGTCCTGTTTGCTGAGCCAAACCAGTCAGTAATGAATGTGCAGAGAACAGACTTGATGATTCCTCTGTAGAACTGTATCAGCAGCTCCTGGGGCAGGTCGAACTTCCTGAGCTGGTGCAGGAAGTACATCCTCTGCTGTTCTTTCTTGATGATAGAGCTGATGTTGGATGTCCACCTCAGGTCCTGGGAAATAGGTGGAGCCCAGGAACTTGAATAGCTCCACTGTTGTTACAGTGCTGCTGAGTATGGTGATGGTGGTGGGGTTCTTCCTGAGGTCCACTGTCATCTCCACTGTTTTGAGCATATAACAACTTCAGGTTGTTGCGACTGCACCACAGGGCCAGCTGCTCAACCTCCTATCTGTATGCAGACTCATAATAACTGTCTCAAATGAGACCACTGACTGAGGTGCAGTGGTTGGTGCAGAGAGAGAAGAGCAGCGGGTAGAACACACATTCACTAATTATAATTTTAAAATAATAAAACACAAAGTCTGTGGAAAAAAAGATCTCTGAGATGTATTTTTTGACTCCTTAGTAGGGACCCAAACCCAGCTGGGGAACCACTGTGCACATAGTCATATGGCAGTGTTTAGCATACTTCACTAGGCAGCTACCATCTTTAGTTTAGCAGTAAGCATTATATTAGAAAAATGCTCTGAAAGATTTGGTGTCCCACCAAACTGCATGTTTCAGGTGCCACACATTGAAAGATGTTTGCATAAACAAAAGACAAATATGAAGTTAATCAGGTTTTTTTTTTTTTTTAGTGTTTAGTGGTGCTGATATTCTGCCCTTTGCACAGATGGCAGAAATTGTACAAGAAAAAAGTCGTGGCTTGAAGTTTGCAGAGCAGCAACTCCTGCGTCACGGCTGGGAACATGGTAGGTTTTTTGTTTTTTTTTCCTTTTGTGCTACAGTCCAACCAACACTATGTGTCACACCTTTGACTGTTAGCAAGTTTCTTATTCAGCCAGTTTCTCATCCAGTCATATTCACTTTATTCTCAGGAAAAGGACTGGGACGAGCTGAAAATGGCATATCGGAAGCTATCAAGGTCAAAGTGAAATGTGATAAAGGAGGAGTGAGTGCCATTTGGTTTTCATGCAGCATTTGTTCTCATTTTAACGGATTAAAGATGTGCAGCTATGACCGTTATGGTCCTGCATCCATTAGTGTCAAAACAGGGTTAAAATCAAGTTGTTGTTTGCGGACTGACATAATGCCCTTCTCTGCCAGGTTGGTCATAAGGAAGGGGAGCAGTTCACCTTCCATTGGTGGGATCATGTCTTCAACAAGGCCTCTTCCAGTCTGCAGGTGGCGCCTGATGACGTAGGTCTTATCTTCACCAAACACTCTCACAATCACCTGCTCTTTGTACAACGTGATCAGTGGACATTTTTATTTTAAGTAATATTGCCATATTTAAAACTTTGTCCGTGATTAACAAGGTGACGTCTTTCAGAAAAATGAAATAATTACTTGTTGTATTAAAAACATTAATTAGTCAAATATTTGCAGACATTACCAGCTGATTCATGACTGGTACAACAGCGCTCAGTTTCACCACCTCCACTTGTGAATGTAGCTTTATTAGGCTGTTGTGTTGGGTTGGTGTGACAATATTTGTAGGAGCCACCTTATCAAAGCAACAACTTTGAGGTGTCTATAAAAGCTACACTTGGATCCTTAAATGAAACAACTACATCACCATTGAAATAGCTTTTTAGTCTGTTTCAACTAAAAACAGAATTTTTCCAACCAAACACTTCAGCGGCTGGTTACGATGATTAGCTTATCCTCTATTCTTTATGAATGAAATCAGCTGGTTTCACCTCTGACAGAAGGTCAAGTCTTTGTGGTTCTCTGTGTGATCCAGGAGGGGGTTAGGTTGAAGAAGACAGTGCAGGAGAATGAAGAGGATGGGATGGTCTCCAATAAAAAGCCACGGAAGGCCTCACTGGCTAAAGCCAAACTTTATGGATGCTTTGTCAAGGTAATGTTTGTTACTGATTGGGTTGTGGTCTAGTACCTCAGTGTCTGACTTGCTATGACACACATGACCTAGGTAAAACACATGTATACTAGTGTGAACTAGGAGAAGGTGCTAAACAGCACTGAACTCACAAGATAACTAATAATTATTGCACCACTTCTGTACATTTGATGATTGGATAATGGAGAATTAAAAGCAAATTAACATTTTTAAATTTGACAAATTCTGGCCTGTGCCAGCAACAACAGTTTTTTTTTAATTTTCAGTATTTTTTTTCCCCTTTGCTCATCTCTCAGTCAGCCACATTGCTGTCTGGTCAGGAACAACCAGAGCCCAAGTCTTCCAGCTCAGATGAGGAGGAGGAGGAGGACCAGAACCTGGATCTCTCCAGCACCACCAAGTAAGAACTTTACCTCAAGCAGTCTGAAATTAAAACTGGTTTATGCTAATACTTCACTTTAAATTCCCCTATTTATCATTAAATATAAACGGACTATAATATGCTTATAAACTAGGGTTGGGCAGTGATTTTTGAATATTCAAATAGGTATTAAATTTAAAAAATCAAATATTTTATGATATTTCATTTCATTACAACCATCAAAAAGTTTTACGTGGAACTTCTTCAAGAAAATAAACAAAAATGACGTGCAGTGCAAACTCTTAAGTTAGCATATCATAAATCGACAACAACTATGCTCAGTCATTTGAAGGTGAGGCACCCAGCAGAAAGTGGGGTGCGGTCCACCAGTGGCTAGCTTTGTCACCCAAAGAAGGAAGTTTGATGATCGCCATGCAGAGCAAACAACAGCCCTCATCACAAAGATGTTAGCAAAAGACATGCTGCCCATTAGCTTCATTCGTTTTTGACATTTGATGGCATTTGTTCAGCCGAAGTATAGGGTCCCATCTAGGAAAAACTGTATGATAATAATGCATGTGAGCTGCGCAGTCGTTTGACAAATGTTGAGGTCCCTGACCATACATACATGCATGGGCAGCGCTTGCAACCGAATCATATGTGACAGTCACCTTCCATTATATAAACAACTGGAAAATACAGTACTGTTGTTCAGACTAAAGTGATGCTGGAGCAACTTGTCGCTGAAAATCTGGCGAATGTGCTTTCCACCACCGCAGATCACTGGGGACTTACAGGTCACATCACAGCATGCGCACATGACGGTACTAGCAGTATGGTGCTATTCAAGTAGATGCCGAATAGTTCCCCACGAATATTGAGTAGCATTTTAGCTTGAAATGCCCATCCCTATTATAAACAGATATAAGGCAGTTTTAATGTCTTTGTGAAGAATTAGAAGTTCTCCTATTAAGATGTATTATTACAACTGGGCTTTGCTCTATTGCCATTCATCATCTGTTTATGCAGCACTTGTGGTGCACACAGGAAGAGTTCTGGTTGTTAAAAATCAATCGTTAATTCTTCTTTCAACTGCAGTTTGGTAGGTTATAAACCATTAAGTAATGTTTGTTTTTAAATGCCAAAGAGCGGT